AGACGGCTCACGTCTCCCAGGGTGAAGTAAAGTACTAAGAACGGTATCTAGCAGAAAATGAGTTCTTTCTATTGCTTTTGAATGTGAGAAAGATTTTTAAGGCCCCAAGTGAACTGATTCGTCTCCACATTTAACGTGTTTGCATCTCACGGCCCAGCGTGTCAGCAAAGGGCCCCCAGGTTCCCAATACACACAGGAATCCAAAGCTCCATGATGAGGATGGGTTCAGGTCATGCACAGAGGAGCAAGGTTGGGTGGGGCCCACAGGACTTAGCTCCCTCTCCACTCTAATCCCCAGCTCTGCTCCTCACTCCCTGTGTGAACCTGGCAAAGTTGCTTAGCTTCCCTGAGCAAGTTTTCTTACCAGCAAGAGAAAGGTGTGATGGGCTCTAACCCACGAAGTTTTCTTGAGTAATTACTGAATTAACATACGGAAAGGACATAGAATGTTTCGTTACCATCACTGTGTTAGGCTGCGCCACAATAAAGAGCCACTATTCAACCTTCTGTGACCAACACGTCAATTTCACACCCCACACCCGATGCCCTCTCTGCACTGATGACCTCAGACTCTGCAGCCTGAATGCTTAATTTCAAATCCACGTTTGCCTGTTCCTTCTAGTGACACTGATCAAGTTACTGACCAGTGCTCAGAAGGTGTCCAGTCTGCAAAACGGAGATATCAGTGCTACCATCCTGGGGTAATGACAAGGACTAGATGATGAATAAAGCCGAGACCAAAGTGGGGCACAGAACATGAGCTTGATGAATATGCAGCCCAGTTATGTTTTCTGATTTGTAGCCCCGAGGATCCAGCCTCCTGGGTGGCCCATAGGCCTCTCCGAATCTTCCTCCTATGACTCTATCACCTCTTATTTGTCCAAGTTTAAGAGGCTGGGCTTCATCCCCGCTCTCCCTGCCTTGTCATGAAATCTCCTTTCATTCCCTCTCCTGAATCCTCTCTCCATTCCACCTGCCTCCCTACAACCAGACACCAGGCCCTCTAGCTTGGGGATGTGCCAACCTCTGTCTTCCTCCCCTCACCACCAGTCCTGCCCCTGCCAATCCTTTCCCAAAGTGATGCAGACAGGACACACATCGGACTGCCTCCAGCTCCTGCCATGGCTCTCCAGTACCCCCGTGAGATAAAGACCTACAAGGCCTTGCAAATTTTGGCTCTGCTAATGCCTTTCTAGACCTGTTTCCCGTTCCTGCCATTGATCCCTGGAGCTTTCCTCCTCAGCGCAGAGGCCTGACTCAGCCGTCACCTCCTCCAGGATGTTCTCCTTGACTCCCAAGCCTGGGCCAGCTGTCACCTCTGGGTTCCCTGTACTTCCTCTTATCGCTCTGAGAGTCACCTGAGTATCTCCCTCATTAGACCGCAACTTCCTTGAGGGCAGCGACCCGGGCTCCCTTGTCCACCATCGTGCCCTCCCTGATGCCTACCATGTCTCAATGGACATTCACTGAGCGCAGAACGTTAGTGCTTCTGGGCTCTCACTTGTTGCCGACTCCCTGCCTGCGCACCCCAGGCTGGACTCCCGAAGGGTTCTTCACCAGGCAGGGCCTTCGGGCATGGGGACTTCAGGTGCAAAAGCGAGGAGGCCCGGCATCACGGATCCGACTCACCTCGCCCAGCGCTTGCAGGCTCTTTACCGCGCCCACAACGGCCTGGTGGTCCACGCCCAGCTTAGCTGCCAGGTCCGCGCTGTCCAGGCCGCCATCCGCCGCCTCTAGCTGCCGGAGCAGCACCTCCGCCACCGGGCCGTCCGCCATGGCTGCTGCCAGCGTGCTCGGCGTGTCCCGCCGGGGCCTGAACAACCGGAACCGGAACCGGCGCCGAAGGAGTGTCGCCATCTTGAGTGTGGCGGACCTGTGGCGAAGCTCAGGATGCCGCCATCTTCAGTGTGGCGCTTGAACCCTAGAGGCTGGGAGAGACTCAGTGCCCGCCTCCGCCCTAGCTAGACTAGTAGTGTCCGGTTGACCAGAGACGCCAAATGGAAGACCTCGAGGACAGAATCGCGGCGTTGTTTTAACTTTCACCTAGCCCCACTTCCAGTAGGCGGTGTGACCTTGGACTTCCCTCTCTCTGAGCCTAGGAGCCCTCTGCCCTTGTGGGATTCGCTCTTGGCCTGCAGGAGGGCTGTAGGTGGTGGGCTCCAGAGATAGTCATTCTGCTGATACCAATGACTCTTAAGTTTTAAAGGGAGGCTAGGTAGGGACCATCCCTATTTATAAAGGGGAGAGGGACTCACCTAATAATAGTTATAGTCAAGATAGCAGCTAACCTGTTTGGACATCTCGTGATGTCCAGAGGTGCCCAGTACCAAGTGCTTCGGGTGTGTTACATCATTTTCCCCAAAACTTTGATGTAAATATTAATATAATCCCCCTTTCACAGTTGTGAAAATGGAAGCTCAGAGGGTGATATGACTTCCCCAAGGTTCTACAAGCAGTTGGTAGAGATGGTGTCAGAAACTATAAACACTTCAGGGTGCCTGGGTGGCTCAGATGGTTAAGCGTCTGCCTTCGGCTCAGGTCATGATCCCAGGGCCCTGGGATCGAGTCCCACATCGGGCTCCCTGCTCCTTGGGAGCCTGCTTCTCCCTCTGCTTTTCTCTCTCTCCCTCCCTCGGTCTCTCATAAATAAATAAATAAAATCTTAAAAAAAAAAACCTATAAACACTTCAGATCCCACTCCAATCCCTGCATGCTCTGAGAAGATCAATGTGAGGGCAATTATGGATACCCTAATCAGTACTGTCCTATAGAAATATAATGCAAGACACAAATCTAATTTTAAATTTTCTAGTGGCAACGTTAAAAACAAAATGGATGAAATTAATTTGAAGAATCTACCAAACCTAGTATGTCCAAATTATCATTTCAATATTATAAAATTACTAATGGAATATTTTATGTTCTTTTTTCATAGTAAGTCTCCAAAATCTGATGCGTATTTTACACTTATGGCACATCTCAGTTGGGACCAGCTACATTTCAAAAGGTCAATAGTCACATGTGGCCAGTGGAGATTAGACAGTGCAAGTAGATTCTAATCCCATTTATGCCACTCAGCCAAGTCGCTTAATCTTTCTGTGCCTGTTTCCTTGCCCGGATAGAGATGATATAAGCCCAGGTCATTGTGAGATTTAAGTGAAATACTGCCCACACACATACGCATACTCGCTAATACTAAATTGAGTGTGGACCATGTGACAAGCACGATCGTAAGCAGAACACCTTTACTCATTTAACCATCACAATTATGTGAGCCTGAAAAGTGGGGTTACTAAGATCACCCGCGATCCTGACCCTACAGTGAGGTCCTTATAAAAATTCAGTATGTGGATCTCCAAGTCCCTTCTTAGCTTCAAAACACTTGCCTTGTTTTTGTTTATTTAATTCCTCCAAGAGTCTTTCCTTCTTTCTGTCACACAACAAGTAGGTTTTAAGCCTCTTTTGTGCCAGGTGCTACAAGAGACACCGGGGGATGGTGAAATGAGTAAGACAGTCACAGTGTCTACCCTTAAGCAGGAGGCACCAAGCTCATGTGTGCGTGACATTATGGTGGAAGGGAGGGAAGTTGGGAGGGTCAGTGGCAGGCCAGGAGTGATCACCCCAAACTGGGGCTCCTCATGAGGGGGTGCAGGTTGGGTGACCCTGGATATGCCTGGGGCAGAACCCCAACTTCTCCAAGACTCCCCATTCCTTTTTCTGAGTCCCCACCACTATCAGGGAAGCACCCCTTCTCCCACTCTTTTGCCAGGATTCCCCCTTTCCTGAGTTCACTTCAACGTTCCCAGGTCCAGGGCCTGTTTGCTTAGAATTTGGGAAACCCCCAGATCTCCTTCCTGCTTCCTGCAGCTGAAGGGGGGGGCAGGGAGATGGTGTCAGTCACTGTCAGTCACGTGCCTCTGGCTTCAGAAGACTCTTGACTCAGGGGTCCTGCCCATCTCCCTTGGACTTTATCTTCCCCACCATCTGTCTCATTTTTTTCATCTCCAACGGAACCCCCCTCCTCTCCTCTTTAGCCGTTTAGTTGCAAAAGCCAGGCCGTTTGTGGGAGACCACAGGCAGCGACCCCTTTACCGGCTGAGGGGGGTTTAAAGGAGAGGCTGCAGTTAGAGGAACAATCCTACCAAACTCTAGGAGCCACAGCCAATAGTCACATCTTCTAGCCTTCTAGGCTTCCTTCTCTCTGTCCCAGGACAACCCCAACAGCTTTGAAAGCGGTTCTGTAGGGTGGCACCTAGCCACGGTTGCTCCTCCTAGCCTCTCAGGGGCTCCTATGACTTCAGAGGCTAAGTGACTTGCCCCAGCCACACAGCAGCAGTCTGACGGGCTTGTGAGGGCACTAGGGACCACTAGGGGCCAGAGAGGAGAGAGCGAGCACTTTACTCGCTAGCCTGCAAGGCTGTGGCACTGGGGTGACGTGAAGATCCAGGGCCCCAGCCCCTGAGCTGTGGTGCCCTTTGCCCTATCCCGGCCTGGGGCGGGCGAGAGCGAGAGCAAGGGCGTCGGAGTGGGGGCTCCCCAATTGCAGAGTAGAAAGTGGTTAGGAAAACCTTGCCCACACCTCCCGGCAGAGGAATGAAAGAGGGCGAGCTCGGGCAGGGTCCAGGTCCTGCGCGGTGACACCGGGACTCGCGCGCGTTCTTTAAACGCCCAGACCCGGAGCTAAGCGCGCGGGCTAGGGCGGGGTTGGGTCGAGGTCTGGTCACATGACCTGGGCAGAGGGGCTCGAGGCCCCCACCGCACCGGTGGGCGGCCCCCACAACGCGTGGTCGACCTTCATTGGCCAGTTGTGTGGCCAATAGAAATCGGCCATCTGGGAACCCTGCGTTCCGAGGCACAGCCTAACATGCTCAGACCACAAGGGTCCAATGGAAAGTCAGGGACGTGGCCGCAGGCCAATGATAAGGTGCAGAGGGCGGGACAAGAGGCCGGGCCAGGTTGGTTTGAGAGGCGGTAGGGTATAAAAGCGCGCGGCCGGCGGCAGCGTCTGTCCCTACTGCAGAGCCGCCGCCGGAGGAGAGATTTAAAGGGCCCGCGCGTCGCCGCCCCCTCGGCCCGCCATGCTGCTACCCGTGCCGCTGCTGCTCGGCCTCTTCGGCCTGGCCGCTGCCGAACCCGCCATCTACTTCAAGGAGCAGTTTCTGGACGGAGGTAAGGCCTGGTCCCGTCTCGAGGCCGTCCCGACTACGAGGGCGGCCCCTCAGCCTAGATCCGCGCTGTTCCCCTGTAATTATTGCTTAGAGGACCAATACGGTGGCCTCCGGGGACGAGAGCCGCAGGCGAGCCTCCCTTCCATGTCCCTGGGGAGCGTCGAGGGTGCCGCGGACTCCTGTGGCGGGAGTTAGGATTCGCTGGAGGAGCCCTTAAGCCATCGAAGGTGTCAAACTAGAGGATGGGGTGGGGTCAGTCAGGGGGTATCTGTTTCCCAGTCCTCAGCAACTCGAGGCCATCGGCAGATACTCGGTGGTGAGAGATCAGTACGGCCGCACTGACCTGCCCCTTTGATCCCCTAGACGGGTGGACCGACCGCTGGATCGAATCCAAACACAAGTCAGATTTTGGTAAATTCGTTCTCAGTTCCGGCAAGTTCTACGGTGACCAGGAGAAGGATAAAGGTAAGGGCTTGAGGCGGGTGGGTGTTCGGATTCAGGAGGACTTCCTGGAGGAAGCCCTGCGCGCACACACAGCCTGGGTATCCCCACGAGCAGGGCAGGGGGGAGGAAGGGGCAGTCCTCTGTGTCTCCAATGCTTAGGAGCCCCGGAGATTGGGGCTGAGGCATGACCTCACTGTGGTCTCCTGCTAGGGCTGCAGACAAGCCAGGATGCCCGCTTTTACGCTTTGTCGGCCAGATTTGAGCCCTTCAGCAACAAGGGCCAGACACTGGTGGTGCAGTTCACCGTGAAACACGAGCAGAACATCGACTGTGGGGGCGGCTACGTGAAGCTCTTTCCAGATGGTCTGGACCAGACCGACATGCACGGAGACTCTGAATACAACATCATGTTCGGTGAGGGGCCCCGCCCTGTTGCTGACCTTTGATTCATTAGAGGGAGACTGAAATCTCAGGGGTTCCTTAAAACCCCCCACAGGTAGTGTTGAGAACACAAAGTAGTTACAGAGCTAAGGCTTGTCTTTGGAAGGGAGGCTGAGAACGTTGCATTGTTATTGTTGGTCTGAAAGTGTTGGTTTACGGGATTTTCTGTAGTTATTTCCTGATATTACCAGTGAGGGCATTAAATCCTAGAGCCGGTTTTTGCTTGTTTTGGGTTTTTTTTTTTTCCCTTTTCAAAAAAGGCTCACTTTAGCTTCTTAGAACCAGTCAGGGTCTGATTCCGGTCCTGTGACCCTTTACAGACCTGAATTTAAGAACCGAGTCTTCCTTTGTGAAGGGGAGCTTTGCAATGGCAGGCAGCTTCTTGTTCTAACTGAACCCCCTCTTCACCTAGGCCCCGATATCTGTGGCCCCGGCACCAAGAAGGTTCACGTCATCTTCAACTACAAGGGCAAGAACGTGCTGATCAACAAGGACATCCGTTGCAAGGTGTGACCGGGGGTGGTGACAAATGGCTGATGGGGGAGTCTCAGAGACCAGCCTGGGGGGCGGGGCCACTCATCTCCCACCCTCTTCAGGATGATGAATTCACACACCTGTATACCCTGATTGTCCGGCCGGATAACACCTATGAGGTGAAGATTGACAACAGCCAGGTGGAATCAGGCTCCTTGGAGGATGATTGGGACTTCCTCCCTCCCAAGAAGATAAAGGATCCTGATGCTTCGAAGCCTGAAGACTGGGATGAGCGGGCCAAGATTGATGACCCCACAGACTCTAAGCCTGAGGTTGGTGCTTGGGCAGAGGCTCCCCACATGGAGGGTGCAGGGGGCAGCTGGGTTGCCTGACCTTTTTGTGTGCCCTCAGGACTGGGACAAGCCCGAGCACATCCCTGACCCTGATGCGAAAAAGCCAGAGGACTGGGATGAAGAGATGGACGGAGAGTGGGAACCACCTGTGATTCAGAACCCTGAGTATAAGGTGAGCCTGGGGCTCTGAGCAGGGTGGGGGGTGCCCGGTGGGGAGCACACTGGTCTCCACTCAACTACTGGTTCCCTTCCCCTTCTGCAGGGCGAATGGAAGCCCCGGCAGATCGACAACCCGGATTACAAGGGCACTTGGATCCACCCAGAGATTGACAACCCTGAGTACTCCCCTGATGGCAACATCTATGCCTATGAAAACTTTGCTGTTCTGGGCTTAGATCTCTGGCAGGTGAGACATAGAGGGGATTCCTGGAGTACTTCAAATGTCCAGGCTCATCCAGGAGGAGAAAGGGGTAGTAGCATTCAACTCCAGGCAGATCTGAGCCCAAACTGGTACTTTTTCTGAAGAATTTCCTGGTCTGTGTTCGTGGAGTTGTCCCAGCACCCCTTTGAGGTTTCGCTTATTGTGTGCCAGATACTTTTCTACTAAGTTCCTTCATGCAAACAAACGTGTTTAACTGCTCTTAACAGCTAGAAGTTGGTTAGATAACCTTGTTAGAAAATTAGTTTCAGGGGTACTTGTTTGACTCAGTTGGCAGAGCATGCAAATTTTGATCTCACAGGTATGAGTTCAAGCCTCACATTGGAAGTAGAGCCTACTGGAAAAAAAAAATAACGTAACTACTAGAAAAAATTTTTAAAAACTCCCATCTCAGAGGAGCCAAATTTTAGTTTTATTCGCTAATAAACATTTCCTGCCTAGAACGGTGCCTGGCATGTAGTGTGGGTCCTAGGAAAATATTTGAAGAGCCTGAGCGAGCCCCTCTTTTACAGATGAAGAAATCGCAGGGCATTTTGTAGTTGTCATGGGAACATGGGGGCGGGGCCGGGGCGGGGGCTTGTCCAAGGCCGGGGACATCCCGATGTCCGCTCTGACCGCCTCTCCATCCATCCTCCTGCCGCCGCCCCAGGTCAAGTCTGGCACCATCTTCGACAACTTCCTCATCACCAACGACGAGGCCTACGCGGAGGAGTTTGGAAACGAGACCTGGGGTGTCACGAAGGTGGGACCGGGGTCCGCTCCTGGGCTCGGTGGGTCTAGGCAGGTGCGGCGGGTCGGGGGGGGCCAGGCCGCTGAGGTGCGGTGGTCTGTGCGCAGGCGGCTGAGAAGCAGATGAAGGACAAGCAGGACGAAGAGCAGAGGCTAAAGGAGGAGGAGGAGGACAAGAAGCGCAAGGACGAGGAGGAGGCGGACAAGGACGAGGACGAGGACGAGGAGGACGACAAGGAGGAGGAGGAGGAGGACGCCGCCGCCGGCGGCCAGGCCAAGGATGAGCTGTAGGGGCCGTGCCGCCGCCTCCGGGGCTGGACTGAGGCCTGAGCGCTCCCGCCGCAGAGCCGGCTGCGCCACATAATGTCTCTATGAGACTGGAGAACTTTTCATTTTTTTTTTTTTTTTCCCCCAGGGGGGTTTTATCTGGGGGGGATTTTGGTTTTGTTTCCTTCCCTCTTTTTTTTTTTTTCCCCCTTCTAAACTGGTGTTTTGTCTTCAGTTCTCCTTTCGTCCTTATTCCTGACCTCATCTTTCTTGATTGACATCCCTGCCTTCCTCTGTCCCTTTGTCTCCCCAGATCCCTTCGTTCCCCTCCAACCTGAGGGGGCGGGGGAGGGTGGAAGAGAAGCCCCAGGCCCAAGATTCCATCTGTTTTCCTTCTTGGATCCTGAAGGGGGGGCCGGAGAAGAGGGGGGCATC